CAGGAAATAAAGCATTGAAAAAAAGTGTTTGTGTGTAAAATCGTACAGATAAGATCAGCTCAGATATGTGGATTCTTGTTATCTTAAGATTTTTTTGTTCGATGGTTAATTATATTAATCAGTAGTCAAGGAAGAACTGATGATATTCCATACTTAGTTTGTGAAAAAAATACAGAAAATTTACAGGATTTTACTTGAACACCTTGAAAGTTTACAGAGATTTTACTGGAATGTAAAAAAAACCCTGTATTTATGTCACCTTTTCTCAAGGTTTAATCATAACTTAGCTTTTAACATTTACATAGTAGTTCAAAAAGATTCTATTTTTGAACATTCTTGTATTACTAGTCTAGGCGTCCTTTGAAGAAGTGCTGAAGTAATTGCTTTTTAGTGAGTAATTATCGTGMTTTTCAACAGCTGGTAAACCGACGACATGTAACCACAATCAGAAGGCAGCTGTATTTATCCACTATCCTCGTTTATCTATTCATTTCATTTATTCATCCATTCATTTTAGTCTTCGTTTTTTCGGTTGATTAATATATTACTCCAAGTACTTATTCCAAGTATTTATTAATTTTATCATTAGAGTGCAAACACTGAAACCATCATAAAACTCTTTAGCTTTTAAATAGTGCTCAATTATAATGTGAATTCCTTGTTGTTTTGTATTCATGCGATCCACACTACTTTGCATTAGTTAGAAATGTAAGGTTAGTATGCTTTTTTCTATCTTTTAGTGTGTGTGCTCTAGCTCCTTCCTTTTACACGATCTTCAGCTGGTCAAGAAACGTTAATTTTACAAACATTTTATAAAATTAATGACTTGATCTGCTACAAAAACTGTTTTCATAAAGCATATGATGATATCACTTGTATTACGCGAAATACAGCCCAAAGAATCATGAAAAAAGGGCAGTTTAGCTGCTTTGGAAATTGTACAGCAATGAGCAGGTGAATTTCAGTATGACTTTTGATTATATTCTTTATATTTCGACAAACAATTCGTCTTCACAAGATATCCTTTATGTGTCTTTTTAATTACTTAAAAACTCCAGGTATCCCTAGCTATATATTTTGGTAAAAGAGAGCGTCACTTRCAGGAAACAAAGATTAACACTGAACAGCTTATTGTAAAAAAAATTACTTTTAGAGAGCCAATCAGAATTATTCTTCTATGAAAGAAGTCAATTCTAGCCAATCAGAATCCAGTTTTATCTGATGATAAACCAATCAAAGTGAACCTTTTAGACCTTTACAGAGTTGGTGCTTAAATAGAAATTATGTAGCATTATCGAGATTAGAGCTTGGAATCATTTGAGCAAGAATATCCTGACGATTTTTGCATTGAGGCTGTGAAAAGAGGTRAGGTATAAAGAAGGAAATTAGCTGGACCCTCAACCAATTTGCASTGGTTTTCTTATCTAACTGTGGTCCAGTGAGCGCGTCATATACCTGATCTAAGCTTAGGTTACTTTCTTTCTTACCCCGAAARGTTTTTCAGGTGTTAACATTCAATGCCACAAAAAARAAACTTTATATAAGAAATAACTCATAGCAAAATTGAGAACAAAGGTTGCTTTTTCAGCTTTTGCGACCCACTTGGCTATCAATAATCAATCCAGAGTCTGTCACTATTTAATGACAATAGGCTGTTGGATATTCATAGTATAATTTTGATTTCAGATTTCAGAAATGACAAACTCAACTGACAAYCCAACCTTCCCGAACGCTACTGACCTAGTTACTCTAAACTCCACCAGTCAAAGCACTTCCATTACTGTTATCACAAGCACCATACCTCCAACAACAGTTCCTCCAGCCCTYCTTCACTATCGTTCCCAGGCTACCATCATMATCCAAGTTGCTCTRCTYGCAATACTCGGTGTCGTCATTGTGCTTGGGAACCTGGTCTCYATCGTCACYTTCCTTAAGACCCAGTCCCTTCGCAGACGATGTCATTACCTGGTGATAAGCCTTTCGTTTGCRGACTTTCTTGTTGGAATCAACAATTTCATGACAATGTATTTTTTCCTRACTGGTCCTCAGTTTAACCTGTTCATYGTCACTTTRGAGTTCATTGATACATGGACTGGAACTGCTTCGATTCTTACCCTGTCCGTCATTGCAGTGGAACGATTCTACGCCATCTACTTCCCTTTTCATCACAGRATGCTGCGTTTCAAGTTCTACATGGCTTGYATWGCGTTCCCTTGGGTTGAAGCCACGATCATCGCATCTCTCTACTTTATTTATTACTTTGCAGAGAACGCGATTGTGTATCAAGTTTACACATACCATTTGTTCATAGTCGCTTCCCTCGCTTTGGTTGTCATATCAACATCGTATATCAGCATYGGTTTAAAGATAAGACAGAAAAACCCTAGWGCGCAGAATCAGAACCAAGCGTCACGTGAAAAGAAACTCGCTGTCACGCTGCTGATTGTCACGCTGGCATCTCTCTTGACSTGGATTCCGTTACAGTGCTTCKTGTTTGTGCTCTATATGTGCAAAACCTGTCCTTTTCCACATTTCAATGTCCTGTTTATAATGAAGTTYCTCCAGTTTTGTAACTCGGGCATCAATGTTTTCATTTACATTATAAGRATGCCCGAGTTTCGAAAAGCATTCCTGGTTTTCATCTGTAACAAAGGCCAAAATAATGAACAAGAGTCAAAGACTGAGCTCTCAACTGTTCGAAGAGGCACAACTTCAGCAATCGAAAGTCAAGCCAACAGTATCTTGAGGAACCAGAGCAGCCCCAATGCACATGCGCAGGAGGAAAGGCAAAGTGTTCCCACATTGAATAGCAGATTGAAAATGGCAAAGAAAGGCGACGATTTTTTTCCAATGAGGAACCACAACAAGGATTTCAAAAGTGGCTTTAGTAACGTTGGATTCTCCGGTGACATTAATGACACAAAATTGTAATTTTAGAATAATGACAAGGAACAAAAAAAATAGTTTGTCATCAATGTAATTGCGAATAGTAGAAATAAGATATATTTCTAACCAAGTAATTTTTAAACCGATATTAACTTTGCCATATGGATTTGAACTGTTCTTGACATAACTAAACTAATTACATCAAACCAATGTAATAGGATTCATTGAAATTAGATTTTAAACTTCATTTTCAATTAAAACAAGGGCAGCAGTTAGTCTTAGTGTATGTGCACTGTTAGAAGCCAATATATTAATTTCCCTTGTTCCCCAAGTGGAAGCCTGCCAGACCAGAATGGCATGAAATTAAAGAATACTACTTTGATGTCAACCATGCAAACACTTGTAAATTTGAGAATGAAATAACATGAGAAAAACGTCGGTCCCATATACAATACTCCTTATCTTACAATATACATCCTT